GTCAGTTCTGCTTTACGGTTGCGGAACTCTTAGTTTAAGCGTGCAAAATATTGATCGTTTAGAAGTCGTCAATTGTCGATGTTTACGTAGTTTGTTGCAGGTTGGAAAAGTAAGCTTATGGAAGGTAATAACGCACTAATTACGTATCCTCGTCCAGCTTATCCGTGACTGCACTGCGCTAGGCACAATCACACCTAAACCATTACATTGGCCATCAGATTTCACAAGAAGTGTGAAAACCACCCGAGGGTGGTGGGATGCACTAGTGGATACACGTCGTGTCAGACTGATTATNNAAGCCATAATTTTACTGGGGTTAAGAGTGGAGGAAAACATGTCAAGAGGCGTGACACACAAAGGTGCAGTTCACGTATTATTGCCACCAGAACTGTGTAAGGTCAAGAATACAATCTAATCGCTCATCCTTTTTTTGTTACTACCAATGACTTTGGGCCTTCTCATTAGCCAGAGGACGGCCACCACTTGGGACGATTAGTTGCAAGAGGATAGTTGTAAGGCAAAGCCCGCTGCATCTAACGTTGCGTAAACTCAGCCGACATATTGGGGATGCATTGGGGACGTTGCATTGACCATTCAGCTCGACAATCTTCGCATACTTTAACTAACGCAGGTGTAGTAACTTGAGTATAGCTCCGGATACTGGTTTTCACCCTATGTTTCCATTAAAAGTTCCCATATCCATAGAGTACCAGTGACGGTCATTTTCGTTTGGATATGAAAAGTTGTTTCGCACTTTCGAAGAAACGGTCCAGTTTCTTGTGCAGTCAACCTCTACCTCGTCACATCACGAAGCGTCAATAACCTTTTTAACTCTAGAAGTAATTGATCTTGTACACTTATCAAAACTACCTAATTTAGAATCGAACTTCAGGCGTTACAGGAAATGATATATGTTCATTAATCCCTTAAAGAAGCGACATTCTAATTTCTATCTAGAGCCTTAAGTGAGTTCAAATATAATGTCGACACCCACGTAATTGACAACCTCGGTACACGGATTCTCTTTGAACTTTTGTATCAGCAATCATCTCATTCATTGCCTGGCTCCTCTGCGTTGAGGTTGCTAATCGGCTTTCTATATTCAACCACCGATGTCTCCGAATCATTGCTCGTGTCTGGTGGGAAAATCGGGTGAGCAATGACGAGGTTCGTCGTCGTGTATTGAGTGTAGGTAGTCGCTCTCTAACAAGTAATCGCTCTATACCGTCTCCGATAGCTCGGTCACGTGTTGCGTATGCCTGCCCATCGACCACCTTTCTGTGCTCTCTTCGCACGTGCCGGGCAAGGCTGGAAGAAGCGCCGCGGCGGTCAGGCCATGACATGGCGCAGAGGAGTGAAGAAGCTGGCTTCGGTTGGTGCTGCCCGCCTTCCAGGTTGGGGCCCAAGGGGTGAGGATTGTCGTTAGAGATGCTGAGATATGGCCCAGAATAGAAGTCAGTGGCGCGAACGCTGTACGGTCCGTTGAAGTCCCATGCCCCCTAAAAATACGATAAATTAACACAAAAGCCTCAGAAGGTGTACAGTTAAACACAAAAGAAATTTGTTACCCCAGTTATCTACAATTTTCCATTTTAAAAATTTCGTCTTCTTTTCACTCTTCTGTATCCCAGTCCACCCACCCCCTGTTATTGTTATTGTTTTGTGGCGTTGGCACCATGCTTGTCCATAAGCGGTTTTTTTAAATATATATATCTTATTCATTTATTGTTATCATTATCATGCATTGATCTAAAATAATTATGCATACTTTAGTATCACATTTATAGTATCTTATGCTTTCTTTCTTTTGACCTCAGGATCCCAAGCTGTACATTGACACCATACTACGGATTCATAGTAAATATTATCACCTAATTTTGTCCGCGTTCGCCTGCGATCCGGCTTTTTCACGCGCCCTGGACAAAGGCTGTGAAAGATTCATCAATCGTAACGCTGTCACCGAGTTGGCCGGGAGTCCGAGGAAATCTCCTGAGTTG